ACTGTGGATTCATTAATAGTCGTTGGATACCAATTTTTGTGGTTTTCGTAGGCACAGAGGAACCACGAATTTAAATGTTCAACGAATTACAAATTTTCTAAAGGAATGTATGCAGACTTTGGCAAAACCACGAAATCTAATATCCATGAAAATACAAGTTTTTCTCAATCCACGAAATTGGTACGCACGAAAATAAATGAATTCACAGCATATTGCTATCACTTGATCTGTTTCAATGTCTGCTGGTTACAAATCGTGCAGCTCGTCTTTGTACTTTTTTCAATTTTATCAATGTGGTTTTGTTGGTACAGGTTCCATACTGTCGTGGCGTATTCAATTTGAGGTCTTACTAATATTTTATAAGACATGCTCTTAAACTAATGTGGAGGTTTCGAAGATAGAAACCCAGGTGTCGGCTGGCTTTTCCTGTGATGTTGTTAATATGCTCTCCCCAATCTAGATAATTTGCAATGGTGCAGCCTAGGTATTTTGTAGATGTTTAATGCTCCAGAGTATGTCCGTGAGTTTGTAGTACCACTTGATTGGATTTTTTTTTCGTTACTGTGAGGACGCTGCATTTTTCAGTGTGGAACTCCATGTTCCAAACATTTTCCCATTTCGCCAGTTTGTCCAGGACTTCTTGAAGTTGGTGGCAGTCATTGTCTGAGGAAGTGGTCAAATAGACAACAGCATCATCCGCAAACAGTCTCACAGTTGAGTACAGACCTTCAGGTAGGTTGTTTATGTAAAAAACAAAGGGGTGGGTCCTAGGACTGATCCTTGGATACTCCGGATTCTACTTTCATTCTGTTTCGCTTAAAAAGTTTCCAATAAAAATGGACACTGGGTTGTATCATGATGTTCAAATATCCACCAATATCATTTGTATTGTTTGAATGCCCCTGGAGACAGAATCAAAGAAATAAACAGTGGAAAGCAAGTCTACGCCGCATGTTGATGTAATTTAATTAAAAATAAAATGCTTATGTAACCACCTTTAGTACAGTGGCGTCACCTGGCATACTAAATTCCGTGAAAGATAAATATTTGCTGACGTCATAAAACGCTATTACTTTTTATTCAGACGTTTGAAGAGCTATTTTTAACATTTAAAAATGATTTTCTAATATTAGAAAATGTATTTCTTATATTAGAAAATGTATTTCTAATATAAGAAAATGTAATTCTAATATAAGAAAATGTATTTCTAATATTAGAAAATGTATTTCTAATATTAGAAAATGATTTTTTAATATAAGAAAATGATTTTCTAATATTAAAAAATGATTTTCTAATATTAGAAAATGATTTCCTTATATTAGAAAATGATTTCTTATATTAGAAAATCATTTTTTAATATTAAAAAATAGCTCTTTTTGTCCACTTTGGTTTGCCATACAGCTTGACTATTTTTATCATTTCATTTGAGATCATACTAAATCCACTTGATTTAGAATTCTGGAGACATTATATTGCCTTTTCTATTTCCTCAGGTGTTATCAAGAAATCAAATTCATTAAATATATTATTATTATGAAATGTGTTATGTCGTAAAGTTTTAATCCTTTTTCTACAGGTAAATCCACAAATCAGGGCAGATATTTTTGCTCTAGAAAAATGTTATCAAAATTATCTTAGTAATACTTTTTGATTGATTTGAACTTAATCTATGAGTAATTCTCTGACAGCAAATCAAGCTTTACAGAGGAGGGGTATATCTCCCATAGAAATATAGGAAATTATTTCTTAAAATGTTTTTTTTTTGTATAATTATAGTGTTCTATCTCCAGAAAAAGGGGGTTATTTATTTATTTAAGGTGTTTGTTCCATACTTAAAATTCAAACAAACATACAAGTAAATCTAACACGCCAACAACAAAAAAGGGTAGTTGTAGTTAAAAGTAAATTTTATGAAGACGCCAACAAAAAAGTTTTTGCAGTTGATAGTAAATGTTAAATATAATAACGAATTTTAAACAATCTCTAATATGCCTTCAATTAACAATTTACAACTGATCAATGTGTAATCATATCAATTTAATGGATCAAACAAATAAACCAAATAAATTTACTATTAATTTGTTGCAAAGGAGAAGTGAAAGATACCAAAGTGAGTTTACCCGTACGAAATATCTAGCAGGATTCCTACCAGACTTTAGCAGGAAATTTTAAATTCCTGTTACTTTTTAGATGTACTAGGAAAAACTTCAGTTTTTCTGGGAGGATTTTTTCACTTTCCTATAACAACATTCCTGGTATGGGTAACAGGAATAGTTTTTTCATGCCAGAAAATCTTTCTACCAGGAATTTTGTCTTATCCAAACAGGATTATTACCTTGACTGCTATTGGTTTATATTCAATTATCTTTAACTGGATTCCGGTTTGCTAATAACATTTATTTTGCTGTGTTATAAGAAACCAGGTTCCAGTTAACAAATTCAAAAGTTGGAGGGTAAAAGATTCAGATTGTGTATAAACAATGCTGCAAAGATTGAATAATGTTCAGGGAAATATTTGAATGTAAGGCAGGATTGCTTATGAAGGTATTTGAATTTAATTAAGCTACACTTTTTGAAATGTTTTAGAGGGAGTTTTAATTTTTTTTTCTAATTTGCATGATAGTCAAACTAATTCAACTAATTAAAAATGGAAATCTCAGTCTTCAATCATATTTTGTCTTATATATATTATAAGTTCATCTGATCTACATTTTTGTTGTATACATAAATAGACCAATACTTCTAAAAGGAATGTTTTTGAGAGTGAACAAAAAACTATTACAGCTACTAATTTCCATCATAATTAAATTCAAAAACAGCTAGATTACAAACCAGGTTTTTTTGTATTGCTATGAGTTACAATTTATGACAAAAATCAGCAAGGACCCATCGAAACAACATCTGATACACAAATTCAATATCTAAAAATTCAATAATACTTTTAGATATTTGGATGATATTTTGGCTCTCAATAATGACGACTTCAGTATGTATACTAAAGAAATTTATCCTGTTGAACTTACTTTAAATAAAGCTAATACTAACAATGACCACTGCCCTTTCCTCGATCTTGATATCTAGATCATTAACGGAAAGCTTAATACTAAAATATATGATAAAAGAGATGATTTTTCATTTCCTATCGTTAATTATCCATTTTTAGATGGTGACGTTCCCTTGTCACCATCTTACGGTGTTTATATATCTCAACTTGTTCGATTCGCTCGTGTACTAGAGAGGTCCCGAGTAAAACGATATTTTCACGCCAACAACAAGAAATAAACAAGATGGAGGTTATGGACAGTTCAACCCTAATATGCAGACTTCAGATCTACGGAATCTTCAGAAATTAAACAAAGTATCATCAACATTGCTTAAATTTTTGAAACAATATAACATAAAATATTTCAAATTATTAAACATCTCTGTTTACTGCAGTAAATCATATCTCACTCGACTAACAAGCTCCTTTTATTTTTTCCGAAAAAAAACAATGTTTTAGATTTTAACGAGAGAAATTTATGTATTACTGAAAAATTATTACACCAGGGTTTTCGATATCCCAAACTAGTCAAAACATTTACTAAATTTTATCATCGGTATAAGGACATCATTCGTAAATATAGCTCAACATGCAGACTTCTTATACGTTCAGGTATTTCACATCCAATTTTTTATGGAAATATTCTTTATAAAGCACAAAAATGTCAGTATTCACCTCTGAAGCTTACAAAACCTTTAAATAGACTTATTAAGAAGGGATATAGTTACGATACTGTTGTCAGGTCATTAAAGATTGCATATTTTGGCGTTAATATTGATTCACTTATAGGGTCTTTGCATCGGAACTAAACACATTTATTTAAAAACCAGTTGTTGGCATGACACAGGTTATGTTCTTCTCATATATGTTATGATGATATGATACTAAACCCCTAACGGGAAGGATTGTGCCTGATATTCATATGATGAAGACATAATCTTTCAATCAGTTTAATTGAAGTCTGGAGCTGGCATGTCAGTTAACTGCTAGTAGTCTGTTGTTATTTATGTATTATTGTCATTTTGTTTATTTTCTTTGGTTACATCTTCTGACATCAGACTCGGACTTCTCTTGAACTGAATTTTAATGTGCGTATTGTTATGCGTTTACTTTTCTACATTGGCTAGAGGTATAGGGGGAGGGTTGAGATCTCATAAACATGTTTAACCCCGCCGCATTTTTGCGCCTGTCCCAAGTCAGGAGACTCTAGCCTTTGTTAGTCTTGTATTATTTTTAATTTTAGTTTCTTGTGTACAATTTGGAGTTTGGTATGGCGTTCATTGTCACTGAACTAGTGTATATATTTGTTTAGGGGCCAGCTGAAGGACGCCTCCGGGTGCGGGAATTTCTCGCTGCATTGAAGACCTGTTGGTGACCTTCTGCTGTTGTCTGTTCTATGGTCGGGTTGTTGTCTCTTTGACACATTCCCCATTTCCATTCTCAATTTTATTATAACACAACTTTCATATGTGGTAGCTACTTCATGAATTTAAGAGTCAAATTTTGCAACAAGAAGTTTTACATGTGTTTTCTTTGTTCTTTGTGGCTGAGATTCAAACTTAATGAATGACCCAGATGTGTATATGTGTATACACCGAAGTTTGTAATGTATATTTTTAGATTCCTGCTAGAAAATCAATTTTCCTAGTAGGAATTTATGAAAAAAATCCTACCAGGAATATTCAAATTAGCAGGAAAATTTGACAAATATCCAGGTTGGAAAATCTGGGAGATCTCAAGTGCTCTGGAAGGGTTAGCAGATCCTCAGCTCCACAAGTGGCACCTATGGTGTTGCTCATGTAAGTGCAGAGCCTGTGTTAATACCTTTTCGGTAGGTCTTCTTCTTCAAACATTGCAAATAAAGTTATGTGATTAAGAACTCTACATGAAAACAATGCACACTGAAAACCAGCCAAATTGAGTATTAATGTACAATGATAATATCTTAATTATTCAGGGTTAGAAACAGGTGCTTACCAGCATGCCCAACATAGTTAAAATCCAGTCTTTCAAGTAAAGCTCTAATGCCACTCTGCTGTCAGACATGTCAGGTAAGTTGAAAATCTATGCTTAAAAACATTTAGTACTTAATATTATTATCACTGAAAAGCCTGTGAAGCAGAGATAATGTGTCAAAATCACAAGTTTCTCTTTTATCAGATTTATGATTCTGCCCCATTACTCACAGTTGAACACTCATGTGAATAAACTTTCAATGGAATACATTTAAGTTTATAGTAATGATTTTAGGTTATGGATGGTTTTCAAATGAGAGGGTGTTTTTTCAGCTACATTATATAGCTGCTATGTCAGTGTATGTCAAAATGGCTCAAATATTTTTTGGAAGCCATGATATAGCACCGTTTTTTCGGAAGACCAATCAAACTGGTTTATATATACCTGATATATATAAATATATATAGTTTGGTCATTGGCTATCATATTCAAGATATGTTTGATCAATTAATTTAAACTACAGGCAACAAACTCCAACCAAGCTTTTTGAGTGAAACAGTTTGAAACCTCAACGTTATACTTGTTCAAACTAATCTCACTTTTTCATTTCATAGCTTGTCCTCTTGTAAATTAGACAAAATAAAATGAAGTTGTTGTTTTGTTGTTGTTTTATATGGTTGTGTGATAGACATAAGGAAGCAGGAGTCACAGGGCCAATGCAGTATAGTTCATGTTCAGTACGCAATTTAAAAAATGCCATTTCTGTCAGTTGAATACGGATATTGATTTTAAGAAAAATAATTTATACTAAGCTGTTTTGTTTTTTTTGTGTGTGTGTTTTTTTTGTTGTTTTTTTTTGCTAATAACATATCGTCCTAATTTGTCGCCAAACACGCTCCGGGACTCTTTCAACGAGACCCTCTAACTTGGCATATAATACCATATTATATTTCTCTGATTTAACACACTCAAAAGGTGTCGTTTAAATATCGTCTAATCTTCCAGGGTTAACTTACACTGTTTTTATATAAGATTAATAAAATAAATATGCACATATGGTATGATTGCCAAAGAGACAACTATCCACCAGAGTTCAAATGAAGTGGATGTGAGCAATTATTGGCAGGCCGTACTTTATTCTGTTTTTGTTTCTACTTTGATGACGGTTAAGAATATTTTTTCCCAATATATTCCTCTTCAAAGGATTATGGTTACTCCATTAGGTAAAATTAAAAGTAATTCCACCTATGTAATTTTAATTTAAAGAAGTTTAATTATAGATATTAATTGTTTTCTATATACGCATCTTTCTTTGACGTAGAATTAAAAAGCGCCTGAAATGGACTGCTCTCTTTTTAGTCCCCTACCGACGAAGTCGAAGGGGACTTTAGGTTTGCAATCTGTCTGTTTGTCTGTTTGTTTTCCACACTTTTTTCTTTTGCTTGAAGATATTGATTTGATATCTGGTGTATTGTTTTATCATGACAACTTACAGATCAAATTCGAATTTTGTTCCGATCTAACAATTTTGTGCAGAGTTATGGTCCTTGAACTTAGAAAATTCACTCAAATAATCAATTTTCCACATTTTTTTCCGTTATGCTTGAAGATATTGAAATGATATTTGTTATATAGTTTACACCATGACAAGTTATAGATCAAGTTAGCATTTTGTTCCAGTACAATGAACTTTTAACCGGTAGGGGACTATCAGACTATGTATTGCAAGGAAATACTCACAGAATGCTTGTTTAATATGCTAAAATGGCTAAGTTTTAAAATCATATAAGCGCCCTATCCATTGACGGTCACTTTGTTGGCTTAAAATCTTATCTCCAATGGGAACACAGCTTGTGTTTCAGAAAACTTCGCATTTACAATGTATATGCATCTCTAATCAATTGACTACTGGTGTAGGATATCAACTAATCTCGATAAACACTTATGTCTATAGCAACGGTAAAACGCTAATGAATATTCATTAGATCAATTAATGTACCTATTACGCAGGTGGCCATAGAAAAGAACATATGTATGCCGAAAAGACAGTAGAGACTACAAAGACTACAACATCAACCAATATATATTGTGAACCTTCAGGGGTTCAGGCAAAAAGATCAAAACAAAAGTTTAGAAAATAGTGATATATTGTTATAAATAAATTGTAAAAATAAAATAAAATAATGTTAAAATTAAATTGAAAAAGATATCAGATGTCAAGAAACTATCAATAATTAGCAAAATTGAAATTGAAAGATATTTGAAAAAGAAATCCACCAGGTTCTAAAGCATTTAAACTTGATGAAAAAAGAGTTGGGTTTCAGGATATGTTGAAAAGTTAGAATAGATATAAAGATACAGTCAATGTATTGAAACAGTTTTATTGGTAATTGTTAATTACCGGTACTTATCTCTAAAAGCTTAAATTGGTCGTGATGCATATCATTTTTACCTCGGCTGACCCAAAGCACCAAGTAAGATTTTGTCCTGAAAGAGATTGCATCTATGGTTGTCCGTCTGTCATAAACTTGTTCAGAGATCTACACATGGCCAATTTCAACCAAACTTGAACTGAATGATCTTTAATAAATATTACTCATTATTGATGACTGTATGGTGACCTGTAGATCTTCAATATTTGTAGGCTTAATTTAGTTGGATATTTGTTTCAGTGACAACCATGCAGAATTTGTTTTGTTTATGCAAGTCTAGGGGGGTATATGCAATATCTGGACACCTTTAGTTTTCACGGTTATATCATTATATGACCGCAAAAAGTGACCGCAAAAAGTTTGCGGTCATAAAATGATAAAACGTAATGATGTTGTCATCGTCCTAGACATTTGGTTTCAAAACAATAACTTGAGTATAAGTGTACATGTATGGATCTCTATGAAATTGAACCACAATGTTCCATACCACAAACGGAAGGTTTGGATTGATTTGGTGGGTAATTGTTTTAACTGTTAAGGAAAAAGAGGCCAAAAACAAGCATTTTTCTTGTTTCAGGACAATATTTTGTGTATAAGTGTATGGATCTCTATGAAATTGTACCATAAGGTTCCTTACCAAAAAAGGAAGGTTATAGGGTTGATTTTTGGGGTTATGACCCAAATGGTTTAGGAAAAAGTGGCAAAAAAACAAGGATTTTCTGGTTTCAAGACAATAACTTGAGTTTAAATCTATTGATCTCTATGAAATTGTTCCACAAGGTACCATACCAAAAAAAAGAAGAAGATTGGGATTGATTTTAAACCTCAACCATTTAGGAAAAAAGGGGCTTAAAACATGTAAAATAATACTTTTCTAATACTTTGTATACATTGCTTATTTCTTTATTTTAATGGGGTTTAATTCAGTCTTGAATTCTTGGGGTTCTTCAATATGCTGAATTTAACCATGTATTTAGATTCAGGATTTTTGACCTCGTTTTTAAATTGGTCTACATTGAGGTTCAGAGGGTTCAAAATTAAACCGATTGATTCATTTTAAATTGAATTATTAGGGTTATTTAATATGCTGAATCTAACCTTGTATTTAGATTTTTAAATTTTGGGCCCCGTATTCAAATATGTCCACATTAAGGTTCAAAGGGTCCAAAATGAAACTTTGTTTGATATCTACAAAAATTGATTTCTTGGGGTTCTTTCATATGCTGAATCTAACCTAGTAATTAGATTTTTGATTTTGGGTCCAGTTTTCAAGTTGGTCCAAATAGAAGTCTAAAATTATACTTTGTTAAATTCCAGCAAACATTAAATTATTGTCATGATTGTGGTTCTTTGATATGCCGAATCTGACCATTTAGATTTATTAGTCCCCTACCGACAAAGTCGAACGGGACTTTAGGTTTGCACTACGTCCGTCTGTCTGTCTGTCTGTCTGTCCGTCCGTCTGTCTGTTTGTTTGTCTGTCTATCTGTCAGTCTGGCAAATCAGTTTTCTAGACTTTTTTTCTTCGTGCTTGAAGATATTGATTTGATATTTGGTTTATTGATTTATCATGACAAGTTACATGTCAAGTTTAATTTTCACCATTTTAGCTTTTCTCTTTGTATAGTTAAAGCCCTTACCATAGAATTGTATTTTTGATGAAATACTTATTAATTAGTAGATTTCTGTTCAAAGGGAAATAACTCATTTTTTAAAAGATTTTTAAAAGACAAAATGACATTTTGGATTTTTTTCCTTTTCTTTGGTAAAATGTTTGAAGAATTTAGTGGTAGGTTTGTCATTCTTGAAGATATTGATTTGATAATTATTATATAGTTTTATCATGACAAGTTACAGATGAGTTGGAATTTTGTTCCAGTCTGATAATTTTGTGCAGAATTATGGTCTTTGGACATAGAAAGTTCACTTAGATAACCAGTTTGAAGATTTTGACTTGATATTTTTATTTAGTTTACACCATGACAAGTTAAAGATCAAGTTAGAATTTCGTTCCATTACAATGAATTTGTAACCGGTAGGGGACTATGTATTGCCATGCAATAATCACTGAATGCTTGTAAATTTTGTTATGCGCAATAAGATTTACAAATATATATCAACATTGCTGAAGTTGTCAACTTACTCCTAATAGGAGCTTTTGCCCTGAATGACATTTTGTACCCCTTTTTATGAATTCTTTGCAGAAACTAAAATAAATAGAGAGCAACAAATACATAGCTAAAATGTTCAGCAAAATAAGATCCACACAAGTTGAACTCGTCAATTATCGACCATTTGAGGTGTTTTTGCCCTTGAAAGATGATAATAGAATTGAGAATGGAAATGAGGAATGTGTCAAAGAGACAACAACCCGACCAATGAGCAGAAAACAGCCAAAAGTCACCAATGGGTCTTCAACACGGCGAGAAAATCCTGTACCCAGAGGCAGGCTTCAACTGGCCCCTAAACAAAAATGTGTACTAGTTCAGAGAAAATGGACGTCACACTAAACTCCGAAACATATAAATGAACCAAAATAAAAAAACAGACAAGACTAACAAAGGTTCCTGACTTGGGACTGGCGCAAAAATGCGACTGGTTAAACATGTTTTGTGAGATCTGCCCCTCCCCCATACCGCTAGACAATGTAGAATAAACAAACACATAGCATTACGTACAGTAAAACTCAGTTTAAATGAAGTCCGAGTCCGATGTTAAAATAGGTAATAGAAAAAACTTAGCAAAATGACAATGATAAAATAAATTAACAAAGGACTACTAGCAGTTACTGACATGTTAGCTCAAGACTTCAATTAAACTGATTGAAAGATTATGTCTTCATCATATGAAAATCTCTAACTTTAGTTTGCCTCAAACAAATGTTATGAAACTTATACACAATGCTTATTGCCACACAAAACAGATCAAGAATGAATTTTGGTGGCGTCACTTTTACCGCTCTAGAGTTATGCCCCTTTACAAATGGAAACATTACTGAATTTTCTGTTTCTGTTCTCTTACTTAAGTTTGCCTTAACCAAATGTTATGAAAATTATACACAATGCTTATTACCATATAACACAGATCAAGTTTGAATTTTGGTGATGTCACTTTTAACGTTCTAGAGAAATGCCCCTTTACAAATGGAAAAATTGCTGAATTTTTCGTTTCCGTTCTCTAACTTTAGTTTGCCTTAACCAAATATTATGAAACTTATACACAATGCTTATTACCACATAACACAGATCAAGTTTGAATTTTGGTGGTGTTTTTTACTGTTCTAGAGTTATGCCCTTTACAAATGAAAAAAATGCTGAATTTTTCGTTTCCGTTTTCTAACTTTAGTTTGCCTTAACCAAATGTAATGAAACTTACACATAATGCGTATTACTACATAACACAGATCAAGTTTGAATTTTGGTGACATCACTTTTACCGTTCTATAGTTATGCCCCTTTTCAAATTGAAAAAATGCTGAATTTTTCGTTTCCATTCTCTAACTTAAGTTTGCCTCATTTAAATGTTATGAAACTTATACAAAATGCTTATTACCTCGAAACTCAAATCAGGAACAAATTTGGGTAGCGTCACTTTTACTGTTCTTGATTTATGTTCCTGTATAACGTTTTATAAAAGCGGGGACATCATCTGTGTCCCATGGACACATTCCCCATTTATTTAATCCAATTTAATTCAATTATTTTTCGTGATTTTACAAATTTTGAATGAGATTCCCCAGGCTGCTTATTTACTACTTCTAAAGGTTAAACTGTTAAATACTTAATAGGGTGATTGTGCTTCTTAAGGTGTTGATAAATGATACTTTTAAATTTATTGGGTCTTCTAAAACAATAAAGGTGTTCTTGTGTGCGTTTAGATAAATAGTAAAATTGAGAATGGAAATGGGGAATGTGTCAAAGAGACAACAACCCGACCATAGAGCAGACAACAGCCGAAGGCTACCAATGGGTCTTCAATGCAGCGATACACTCCCGAACCCGGAGGCGTCCTTCAGCTGGCCCCTAAACGAATATGTATACTAGTTCAGTGATAATGGACGTCATACTAAACTCCAAATTATACACAAGAAACTAAAATTAAAAATGATACAAGACTAACAAAGGCCAGTGGCTCCTGACTTGGGACAGGCCTAAAAATGTGGCGGGGTTAAACATGTTTTTGAGATCTCAACCCTCCCCCTATACCTCTAGCCAATGTAGAAAAAACAAACGTACAACAGTACGCACAGTAAAACTCAGTTTATGAGAAGTCCGAGTCCGATGTCAGACTAGGAAATAAAAGAAAATAAACAAAATGACAATAATACATAAATAACAACAGACTACTAGCAGTTACTGACATGCCAGCTCCAGACCTCAATTAAACTGATTGAAAGATTATGTCTTCATCATATGAATATCAGGCACAATCCCTCCTGTTAGGTGTTTAGTATTATACTGAAAAAATGCTGAGTTTTTCGTTTCCATTCTCTAACTGAAGTTTGCCTCAACCAAATGTACACCAAGCTTATTACCACAAAACTCAGATCATGTACAAATTTGGGTAGAGTCACTTTTACTGTTCTTGAGTTATGTCCCTTTATAACGTTATATGCAAGTGGGGGCATCATCTCTGTCTCATGGACACATTCCCCATTTATTGTTATTAAAAATGTTAGCGATTGTAGTATTTTAAGATATATACGATTTTGAAGATTGAGACGTGAAGATACCCTTTGAATGAGTATTTTGCAAAATTTATAATAGATAAAAAGGAACTGTAAATAGCACAAATGCTTGGCACAATTTAAATTCTACAAATAATTCAACATGGCCCTAATTGTCAACTGACTCCTTTTAGGTGTTATTTCCTCTGAGTTTTGATTTTTACCAATTTTTTGGCATTTTTGTTAAAAACTATAGTGGATAGAGAAGAAACTTTTAAAAGCAAAAGAAAAATCTGGAAGATCTACTCGTAAGTAAGTCAACATGGCCAAATTATCAGACTCCATATATATGAATTACCGGTATTGCTCTTAAATGACGATTTTTATACAAATTTCTTTATAAATTCACAATTATTTCAAAAACTTTAATGCAGTGAATTCAGAAATTTTTGTGATTGTTTTATTAATGCTGAAATTTCCACAGAATACTGATTTGGCACTGTCTTCTGGCACAGAATAGAACAGGTTACAGTTCTTATGTGCATCTTGCCAACATGCAGTACAGTTTTTGTTCTAACATTAACACTTCGGTAAACGGGAAAGACCATCAGCATTTGAATGTTTAGGACAGCTCTGATACTCTATTGTGAAGTCAAATGCTTATCTATCGGGCAATTATACCTTCAGGCTCTTTAAAATTCCAGAGCCAAGTGAAGGAAGCATGATCAGTATGAACTATAAAATGAGTACCATAAAGAAAATTAATGTTTGAAATGTTAAACAAATGAAACGAACGCTAAAAATTCATGCTTGGTGACACAGTAATTTCTCTGTGCTCGATTTAAGGTCTTACTAGCATACGCGATTACTTGCTTTTGACCTTCGTGAATTTGCGACAGAACACCACCTATTCCTGTTAAACTTGCATCACAATCGAGTATAAAATTCTCATTCGGGTCTGTAAATGCGAGAACTGCTGCTTTAACCAAAAAGCTATTCAAAAGGTTATATGAGATTTCTTCTTCTTTTCCCCACAAAAATTTTGTATCTTTGCGAGTAATTAAGCTTTGTCAGTGGTTCGGCCAATTGTTGAAATATTAGGTATGAACCGCCAATAATAGCTTGAGAAACCAAAAAAGCTTCTAACCTATGAAACATTAGACGGCTTTGGCCAATTTTTAGCTCACCGAGGGCCCATGTGAGCTTATGCCATCACTTGGCGTCCGTTGTCGTCCGTCGTCGTCGTCGTAAACCATTTCAAGAATCTTCTCTTCTGAAACTACTTTGCCAAATACCTTCAAACTTTGTCTGAATGTTCCTTAGGGTATCTAGTTAATAAATTGTATCCGAAGTTTTGATTCATCTACAAACATGGCCGCCATGGCTAAAAATAGAACATAGGGGTCAATGCAGTTTTTGGCTTATATCTCAAAAACTAAAGCATTTAGAGCAAATCTGACATCTGTAAAAATGTACAATAGGTCAAGATCTATCAGCCCTGAAATTTTCAGACTAACCGAACTCATTGTTGGGTTGCTGCCACTAAATTGGTAATTGGTAATTTTTAGGAAATTTTGCAGTTTTTTGGTTATTATCTTGAATATTATTGAAGATAAACATGATAAAGATAAACTGTAAACAGTAATAATGTTCAGCAAAGTAAGATCTACAAAAAAATTAAGATGACCAAAATTTTCAATTGACCCCTTAAGGAGTTATTGCCTTTTTAAAGACAATTTTACACAATTTGTTCATCATGTTTGCTAACATTTGAAAATCCTCTGAAACTACTGGGCCTAATACTTCTAAACTTTAACTGAATGTTCCTTTGGTAACTGGTTTAAAAATTGTATCCAAAGTTTTGATCCATCAACAAACATGGCCGCCATGGCTTAAAATAGAACATAGGGGTCAAATGCAGTTTTTTGCATTTATCTCAAAAACTATAGCAGTTAGAGCAAAAGTGAAATGGAGTTAAAGTGATGAATAAGTCAAAAATTATCTGCTAAGACATTTTCAGACCAATTGGACCACCCATTGTAGGGTTACTGTCCGAAATAGTTTATTTTTATGAAATTTTACTGTTTTTGGTTATTATCTTTAATATTATAATAGATAGAGAGAAAGTGTAAATGGCAAAAATATTCAGCTAAGTAGGATCTAAAAATAAGTCAAATTATCAAAATAGTCAATTGATTCCTTAAGGAGTTATTGCCCTTGAAACATTTATTTTTACATTTTCGTGCAAGTCTGTTACTTTTTCAAAAATCTTCTTCTCTGAAACTACTGGGCAAAACTACTGAAAGGGAGTTAAAGTGATAAATGGGCGATAATCTATCTTTTATGACATTTTCAGACAAGTTCGACAACCCATTGTTGAGTTACTGTTGGAAATAGTTTATTTTAGGAACTTTTACTGTTTTTTTGTTATTTTCTTTAATATTATAATAGATAGAGAGAAGGTATAAATGGCAATAAATGTTCAGCTAAGTAAGATCTATAAATAAGGCAACATGATCAAAATAGTCAATTGACCCCTTAAGGGATTAATGCCCTTCAAAACTTTTTTTTTAACATTTTTTGTGAAAGTGTTTTTTAAAAATCTTCTTCTCTGAAACAACTTGTGGCCAAATACTTAAAAACTTAAATTGAATGTTCCTTGGGGTATTTAGTTTACAGATTGTATTCGGGGATAGGTGAAAGTGTTAAACAGGTTTAGATCTAACTGTCAAGTAATCTTCAGACCAATAGGACAACATGATGAATTTTATCTGTTTGGCCAAAGTTGCCATCAGGTCGACTAACAAAAATGTCCTCAAACTCAATAATTAACTTATGAACTTCTCTTTGACACATTCCCTATTTCCATTCTCTATCCTGTTTAATCTGTTTACCTGCTTTGAATTTTAAAACTTTTTTTTCAGATTCTAATTGACTGGTTGCAGAAGTGGTATGCATATAAAGTGGCATTAAGGCCTTGCAGACAGACTTAACAATAACATGCTGAAGTTGCAATTAGAGTTTGACGAAGGCTCACTTGTAATCCCTTACTAACAGATTTTGCTTTGGGTATTTATAATCATATTGATAATAAGTCAGGGACTTTACTTAAACAAGTTTCTTTCAAAATCACCTTTACAAGTTATGTTGACATTGAGGATCTTTTAAAATATTTTTTGGAACTATCATTTTGTATTTTGTAATCAAAATTTTGAAGGAAGAGAAATAATAATGGATGGAAACATTTGATAATTTTATTGAGACTAATTAATAATTGATTATGTTTATAATCCAAAACAAATTGCATACATTTACATCTGCTCCTTTAGATTAAATAAGAAGTCTAATCCAGATTGCTATCTTCAGAAATCAGAGTTCGGTAAGAAAACAAAAAAAAAATTTTGGAGAGGATCCCAAATTTTTTTTTGAGTGGGCGGCCTTTTTTCCAGTCGGTCATGGTTTGCGGAAACAAACATATTTTTTATTTTGGCCCCATCTGGGTTAACTTATCAATCCTTTAAATAAACTTATTCTAGAAGGTTACCAAATTAATTCAACACTGTAATTAGATTTTTGAATATTGTGTATATCGGTATAAATATTGATTTTGTTATCAGTAAATTAAAACCAAACTTTATATTATTGGTATACACATATGTACATACACAGTTTTACAATCTATCGATCCTTATATTTTAGATACGTTGTTTTTTTATCAGTTCTTATTAGGTTTGAACTAGCTTTCAGTAACTGTGAGTACTGTCAGATCTGTACATACTTTATGTCTTGTGTGTTTTTATTAAGAGTTTTTTGTGCTTTGTATCGTTCTGATGAGTTGAGCCCTTTTCAACTGAATTTTGTCTCAAATTGAACGGAGTCAAAAAGGAAGACATAGGTATGCTTTTTCCTGCGGCAGCATCAACAATGTATTAGTTTGTGATTAGGTCTAATTTATGGTGAACCACTAGTGGTAGGTCAATGATATTTGTTATGCAGTTGTATTAGAATTGACACATCTAATTTCCATGGAGATTATTTGGCCCTGCCGCCTCAGTCATGGTCTATTGACTTTGTAACTTTTGCTTAGTTTACATGTATTAGTTTGTGATTAGATCAGTTTAAGATGAACCACTTATGTAAGGTCAATGATATTTGGTATGCAAATGTATTGGCATTTGAAAGTCTTATTTCCATGGAGATTATGTAGCTCCACCCACCTCATCAAAATAACAAAAAGGCTAGACATATCTCTGTGTTAACAGTTTATTATAGTTTGTGTATAAGTTGTAATGTTACACCACTATCCCAATTTTGGGGAGGGTTTGGCATCCGCAAACATGTTTAACCCTGCCACATTCTGTATGTGCATGTCCCAAGTCAGGAGCCTGTAATTCAATGGTTGTTGTTATTTGCTGTACATGTATATCATATTTGTTTTTCGTTTATTGTTTTCTACAAAAATCAGTTTGTAGTATTCAATTTTGAATTGTTTTACATTTGTAATTTCTGAGCCTTTTATATAGATTGTTGTTCTGTATGTTTTGCTCATTGTTGACGGCCGAACAGCATGTACAAGGACTTATAGTTGTAAACTTCTACGTCATTTGTTATCTGGTGGAGAGTTGTTTAATTGGCAATCATACCACATCTTTTTATTTTGCTTTTATAAGTATTGTACAAAAACATAGCTGACTGACAAAACCAATTTCTACAAATGTTTGCTACCAGGACTTTTACATTTTCATTTTTAAAATCAAATTAAAAATCAAATCAAATCAAATAATTTTATTGGTGTAAACTCCAATACAGGAATGATACCAGCTGTAATCAAAAATAAACAAAAAACAAATATACAGAGATATGTTTTCTCAATGATAAGAGACACATATTGTATATCTACATTGCGTGGAGGTGTTATTTATACTATATTATCTCTTCAAGCTATTACAATAAGCTTGAAGATTTTAACGATTAAGGGCTATAGTCCTTGATTAATAGAAAAGATGACTATTTATGACGTTTCTGTGTAATAATTAGCGAAACATTTAACCGAACTATTTTAAAGTTTTGATATATTGTTTCTCATGTCAAAATGGACGTCAAGTGTGATTTTATTAGTGCCAATTTTCACTTATCATGATTATGCTGTTCAGGAGTTATGGCCTTTGATTGTTTCAACAATGACTAAAATGTAAGCAAAATCTGTAAGTCATTTTTACAGCATCTATTTAAAAAAAATCTAATACAATTTTATATGGTTGAATGTAATAACACAAGGTTAGAGGTTATAATCATAATTTGGAGAAAATACAATTTTTATCCGCAGAACCCTTACAAATTTTTAATATTGGTATTGTCATATGATAAAGTAATGTTGATTATAAGATGCACGGTTTTCTCTGCTTTTAAATTCTTTCTGTTTGATCCGTTGACCTGGAACTTATTAATTATTTGTAATATTTTTTTTGAAAACAAAAGGGCCTGGAGTGGTGTAATTTGTAATCAACATCATTGTCCTATATTAATTATATATAAAGTTGAATTCTTTGATTCGCCGTTTTTACGTCATGCCGGCTAACAAACTGTAATTACGCCTTTATTTCAAGTCTGGATTTTTAGTATTCGTATTGTTATCTTATAAAGTAAAACTGATTAATATACTACAACCGGAAATAATGTGACAATGATTGAAATTAGTAGTGTCAACGAAGTTTAGGTGTGATTATGACCCGCGTATATAGCAAATGGTGGTGCACCTGACAGATTCGGAACGTACAGATTAGGTAAGCAGTACGTCGACTCAGCATGCGCGAAAGCGTATATGACACAGATCGATAACGGTCTCTGAATTTGGATATTTTCTCAAAAATTGGCGTTTTCTGTGGAAAAAAGATTGTTTCAAAGACAAATTTAGGAAGTACAAAACACTACATTTATACGTCATACAACAAATATTTCCAACTTTGTATGGTTTCAGAGGAGTTGCGGCTCAATGAAATCAGTCTCTTCCTTTAGTAGTATAGATTGGGACTATGTAAATATGACATAATTACAAAAATAATTAAAATATTCCTCTTAAAATTACAACTCCTGTATACAAACATGATAAAATGTTTTCTCTTTCTTTTACAGTATATAATGGCAAGTTGGGATCAGGTAAGATTTTCTTCTTAAAAGTCACGAAATTCAATGGTCATGTGACCTATATTTTCTATATACTGTACAGAAAGATACAGGCTTGCAGTATTCTCAGAGGCAGAATTGAAGAAATTAAAATGACAACAGGGAAAAAAATTTCAATATACAAAATTCCAGGGAACGAAAAATTAGAGACATGAGATATCAAAGGACATTCACAACTCCTTAAAGTCGAAGAAAAACCGACAACACTATGGCAAAATTTGAAAAACTATGAAAATATAAGCAACAGTCTTCAAACATATTACATAGAAAACTAATTACAGAGCAACACAAACCCCAACATAAACGGAGACTGATCCCAATACTTATGCAAAATGCAATTGTCTTAAGTTTTTTCTAAAAAAAACTCTGAAATTATAGACAACAATTTCACTCCCTCTTGGTAGTTATTGTATTTTATATAATTAGGCTTAATTGAAACTGTAAGAATGCTGCTTATTAAATTCAATTATTACATTTATAATACATTTGTATGTTTTAGAGGAAAATGTAAAATCTTTGATTTTCTTCCAGAAACTTTGTACAGCTGCAAAGGAGGGGAAAATAAACGAGGTAGAATTATGTGTAAAAAATAGAGCTAATTTGGAATGTAGAGATGAACTGGTAAGTAAAGTAAAATATTTAACACATATAAAGGTATCTATTATATAGTACACACAATATGAATCTGTTCAAATGAAGTGGATATAAGCAATTATAGGCAACCGTACATTTTTATTAGCTCACCTGGCCCAATGGGCCAAGTGAGCTTTTCTCATCACTTGGCGTCCGTCGTCTTCTGTTTACTTTTACTGAAATCTTCTCCTCTGAAACTTCTGGGCCAAATTTAACCAAACTTGGCCACAATCATCATTGGGGTAACTTGTTTATAAAATGTGTCCGATGATCCGGCCCGCCAACCAAGATGGCCACCATGGCTAAAAATAGAACATAGGGGTAAAATATAGATTTTGGCTTATATCTCTGAAACCAAAGCATTTAGAGCAAATCTGACATGGGGTAAAATTGTTCATCAGGTCAAGATCTATCTAAATTTTTAGACGTATCAGACAACCCGTTGTTGTGTTGCTGCCCCTGAATTGGTAATTTTAAAGAAATTTTGCTGTTTGGTTATTATCTTCAATATTATTATAGATAGAGATAAACTGTAAACAGCAATAATGTACAGCAAAGTAAGATCTACAAATAAGTCAACATGACCAAAATGGTCTATTGACCCCTTAAGGAGTTATTGCCCTTTATAGTCAATTTTTAACAATTTTTAAAAAAAATTTGTAATCTTTTACAAAAATCTTCCCTAAAACTATTGAGACAAATTTAACCAAACATAGCCACAATCATCATTAGGGTATTTAGTTAAAAAAATGTGTCCGATGACCCTGCCCGCCAACCAAGATGTCCGACATGGCTAAAAATAGAACATAGAGGTAAAATGCAGATTTTGGCTTATATCTCTGAAACTAAAGCATTTAGAGCAAATCTGACTGGGGTAAATATGTTCATCAGGTTTAGATCTATCTACCCTGAAATTTCAGACAAATTAGACAACCCGTAGTAGGTTGCTGCCCCGGAATTGGTAATTTTAAGGAAATTTTGCAGTTTTTGGTTATTATCTTGAATATTATTATAGATAGTGATAAACTGTTAACAGCAATAATGTTCAGCAAAGTAAGATCTACAAATAAGTTAACATGACCAAAATGGTCAATTGACTTCTTAAGGAGTTATTGCCCTTTATAGTCAATTTTTAACAATTTTTTGTAAATTTTTGTAATCTTTTACAAAAATCTTCTGCTCTGAAACTACTGGGACAAATTTAACCAAACTTGGTCACAATCATCATTAGGATATCTAGTTTTATTAATGTGTCGGATGACCCTGCCTGCCAACCAAGTATGGCCGACATGGCTAAAAATAGAACATAGGGGTAAAATGCATTTTTTGTCTATTATTTTTTGAACTGTTATAAATAGAGAAAATCTGAAAGAAACAAAAATTGCAGAATAATGAGCTCCTCCAATTGTCCATATACGTCAAAACTGTAAGACAAATTCCTATAGGAGTTATTGCCGATTAATGACAAATTTTACCATTTTTTAGCTCACCGGGGTCCGAAGGGCCCCATGACGATGTAAGCTTATGCCATCACTTGGCGTCCGTCGTCGTCCGTCGTTGTAAATTATTTCAAAAATCTTCTCCTCTGAAACTACTGGGCCAAATACCTTCAAACTTGAACTTAATGTTCCTTAGGGTATCTAGTTTATAAGTTGTATCCGCAGTTTTGATCCATCGACAAACATGGCAGCCATGGCTAAAAATAGAACATAGGGGTTAAATGCAGTTTTTTGGTTATATCTCAAAAACTAAAGCTTTTAGAGCAAATCTGACATGGGGTGAAATTGTTCAGTTGGTCAAGATTTATCAGCCCTGAAATTTTCAGACAAATCGAACAACCCATTGTTGGGTTGCTGCCACTAAATTGGTAGTTTTAAGGAAATTTTGCAGTTTTTATACGACCGCAAAAACATTTTGCGGTCGTATATTGGTATGACGTTGGCGTCGTTTTTTGTTACTTCCATACATAACTTGTGTGTTAGTGAATGGATCTCTTTGACATTGTACCACAAGGTTCCATATCACAAAGGGAATGCTGGGATTTATTTTGGGGGTAATTGCCTCCATATTTTAGGAATAAGGGGCCAAAAAAGGGGCAAAAAACAAGCATTTTTCTAGTTTCATGACAATAACTTGTGTGTAAGTGTATGGATCTTTATGAAATTGTACTACAAGGTTCCATATCACAAAGGGAAAGCTGGAATTGAGTTTGGGGGTAATTGCCCAAAACGTTTAGGAATAAGGTGCCAAAAAGGGGCCAAAAATAAGCATTTTTCTAGTTTCTAGACAACAACTTGTGTTCAAGTGCATGGATCTCTCTGAAATTGTACTGCAAGGTATCATATCACAAAGGAAAGGCTGGGATTGATTTTGGGGGAAATTGCCTCCAAATTTGGGGAATAAGGGGCCAAAAAAGGGGCAAAAAACAAGCATTTTTCTAGTTTCATGACAATAACTTGTGTGTAAGTGTATGGATCTATATGAAATTGTACTACAAGGTTCGATATCACAAAGGGAAAGCTGGAATTGAGTTTGGGGGTAATTGCCCAAAATGTTTAGGAATAAGGGGCCAAACATAAGCATTTTTCTAGTTTCCAGACAATAACTTGTGTTCAAGTGCATGGATCTCTCTGAAATTGTACTGCAAGGTATCATACCACAAAGGGAAGGCTGAGATTGATTTTGGGGGAAATGGCTTCAAAATTTTTGGAATTAGGGGCAAAAAAGGGACAAAAAAACAAGCATTTTTCTAGTTTCAGGACAATAACCTGTGTGTAAGTGTATGGATCTTTATGAAATTGTACTACAAGGTTCCATATCACAAAGGGAAAGCTGGGTTTGAGTTTGGGGGTAATTGCCCTAAACGGTTAGGAATTTGGGGCCAAAAAGGGGCTAAAAAACCAGCATTTTTCTAGTTTCCAGACAATAACTTGTGTTCAAGTGTATGGATTTCTCTGAAATTGTACTGCAAGGTACCATACCACAAAGGGAAGCCTGGTATTGAGTTTGAGGGTGATGAATCATAAGGGGGTTCAAAAGATTTGGTTGGGGGATTTTTGTTTCCTTTTTTTTTCTTTAAAATTTTCCATTTTAAATTGGTTATTTCTGATTTATATATAAAAGTAAATAATAATGATATGGTTAAAAATAGGTAAATTAAAAAAATTTAAGTTCTTAGACCACATTCATTCTGTGTCAGAAACCTATGCTGTGTCAAATATTTAATCACAATCCAAATTCAGTGCTGTATCAAGCTTGAATGTTAAGTCCATACTTGCCCCAACTGTTCAGTGTTCGACCTCTGCGGTCGTATCAAGCTGCGCCCAGCGGAGCATTTTATTTGTTACTATCTTGAATATTATTAAAGATAGATAGATAGATATAAACTGTAAACAGCAATAATGTTCAGCAAAGTTAGATCTACAAAAAAGTTAATATGACCAAAATTGTGAATTGACCCTTTAAGAAATTATTGTCCTTTAAAGACAATTTTACACAATTCATCGTCTGTCGTCGTAAACTATTTCAAAAATCTTCTCCTCTGACACTACTTAGCGTAATACCTTCAAACTTTTACTAAATGTTCCTTAGGGTATCTGGTTTATAAATTGTATCCCAAGTTTTGATCCATCGACAAACATTGGTGCCATGGCTAAAAATAGAGCATAGGGGTCAAATGCAGTTTTTGGCTTATATCTCAGAAACTAAAGCATTAAGAGCAAATCTGACATCGGATAAAAATGTTCAAAAGGTCAAGATCTATCAGCCCTGAAATTTTCAGACAAACCGAACAACCCATTGTTGGGTTGCTGGCACTTAGTTGGTTATTTTAAGGAAAATTTGCAGTTTTTCGTTATTATCTTGAATATTATTGAAGATAAAGATAAACTGTAAACAGCAAAAATGTTCAGCAAAGTAAGATCTACAAAAAAGTTAAATGATCAAAATTGTCAATTGACCCCTTTAGGAGTTATTGCCCTTTAAGGACAATTTTACACAATTTGTTCATGTTTTGTTACTTCAAAAATCTTCTCAAATGAATCTAGTATAAATTTTGTATTTAATTTCCTTGTACGTCAAGAAACATAGACACTATGGCTAAAATGCATTTATTTGCTTTTGAAGAAAATATGACAGATACAATGAACATTTAAATGGCATTTTTAAGCCACTCATTAATATATATTGAAAAGCAAAAATAATCATTGATGAAAGATTTAAGCAAAAATATAACAGGTGAGCCATTCAGGCTCTTGAGAGCCTTTTGTTTTCATTTTTGTCTTTTATCATGATAACTATGATATTTAGAGAGAACATTTTTTTCCGTTATGCCTTATATGATTTAAATTATAATAGATAAATGAACACTTTAAATCACAAAAATGATCAGCAAGGCAAGATCTATCAAAAAGTCAAATTTTGCAGATATAGTTTGTAGACTGTCACTCTTCATAGGAGTGATTGCTCTTAAATGAGGATTTTTTTTACCCTCTTTTGTGTTTTGAACAAAAACTAAAGAAGATAGAGAGAAACTAAACAGACTAAAAGATCAGTAATACAAGATCAACAAAATAGAGATTGTTGTCATGAAGTCTATTCTCGTTTACAATGTTGGAGAGTGTCCTTTGTTTGATATGCAAATAGACCAGGTGAGCGACACAGGCTCTTTAGAGCCTCTAGTTTTTTTCACCTGACAGTTACCATGGAAGTTCTGACTTCTCACAGTAAAACATGTTGTTTATTTGTTGTTTATGTAGAATACAAATACATTTTATTCAGTTTTGACCACTTATTCATGTGATATTTATTTTGTTTATATTTATTACACAACATTATCCAGTTTATGACACAAGTTTTGATGTCTGTTATATGTTGATATTACAGTTGGGAAGGACACCATTAATGCTGGCCGCTGAGGGAGGACACCTGGAGGTGGTGACTCACCTGGTCACTCAAGGCAGTCAGTTAAACGCCACAGAGGAGGTAAGGCCAAAAAACAAAATATGAATGTGTGTTTCCTATTACATGGAATTTAAATTTACAATAGGGTAGGTAGGTGTTTTTTTTATCCTTCAAAAAAAGGGGGATGGAGATTCAATTTATATTGAATGGTATAATAGATGTGTAGAAACAGTTGTATTACCTTTTTATTTCAGCAATGGTTGCTTCAATCAAAAGATTTTTGTTTTTGATGAAGTCTTTGTTTTGTAGATTTTATGCTTTTTTAGTCCCCTACCGACAAAGTCGAAGGGGATTTTAGGTTTGCACTCAATCCGTCCGTCCGTCTGTCTCTCTGTCTGTCCACCCGTCACTCCGGCAAATCAATTTTCTACACTTTTTTCTTTGTGCTTGAAGATATTGTTTTTATATTTGGTGTATTGTTTTACCATGACAAATTTCAGATCAAGTTCGAATTTTGTTCTGGTCTGACGATTTTGTCCAGATTTATGGTCCTTGAACTTTGAAAATTCACTCAAATAATCAGTTTTCCGCACATTTGTTTTACATGCTTGAAGTCGATGGGGACTTTAGGTTTGCACTCCGTATGTCTGCCTGTCTGTCTGTCCATCCGTCAGTCCAGCAAATCAGTTTTCTGCATGTTTTTAGCTCACCTGGCCCAGAGGGCCATGTGAGCTTTTCTCATCACTTAGCGTCCGTCGTCCGTTGTCTTCCGTCGTCGTCGTTAACTTTTACAAAATCTTCTCCTCTAAAACTACTGGGCCAAATTGAAACAAACTTAGCCACAATCATTATTGGGGTATGTAGATTTAAAAATGTGTCCGACGACCCCGCCTTCCAACCAAGATGGCTGCCATGGCTAAAAAATAGAAGATAGGGGTAAAATGTAGATTTTGGCTTATATCTCTAAAACATTTAGAGCAAATCTGAAGGGGTCAAAATGTTCATCAGGTCAAAATCTATCTGCCCTGAAATTTTCAGATGAATCAGACAACCAGTAGTTGGGTTGCTGCCCCTGAATCTGTAATTTTAAGGAAATTTTGCAGTTTTTATACGACCGCAAAAATTTTTGGGGTCGTATATTGGTATCACGTCGTCGTCGTCGTCGGCGTCGTCGTCGTCGGCGTCGTCGTCGTCCAAAGACACTTGGTTTTCGCACAATAACTTTAGTTTAAGTGAATGGCTCTATTTGAAATTTAAACACAAGGTTTGAAACCACAAAAGGAAGGTTGGGATTGATTTTGGGGGTTATGGTCCCAACAGTTTAGGAATTAGGGCCCTATAAAGGGGTCCAAAATAAGCATTTTTATAGTTTCCAGACAATTACTTGTGTGTAAGTGTATGGATCTTTCTGAAATTGTACCACAAGGTTCTTTACCAAAAAAGGAAAGTTGGGATTGATTTTGGGGGATATGATCCTAACTGTTTAGGAATTAGGGGCCACAAAGAGGCCAAAAACAATACTTTTTCTAATACTTTGTATAAATTGCTTATTTCTTGACCAATTTCAATGGGGTTTTATTCCTGAATTCTTGGGGTTCTTAAAATGCTGAATCTAACAATGTATGGAGTTTTTGGATTTTGGGCCCCGTTTTTAAACTGGTCCACATTGAGGTCCAAAGGGTCCAAAATTAAACTTTGTTTGATTTCATCAAAAATTGAATTATTGGGGTTCTGTAATATGCTTAATCTAATCGTGTATTAGGTTTTTGGATTTTGGGCCCCGTTTTTAAATTGGTCCACATTGAGGTCCTAAGGGTCAAAAATTAAACTTTGTTTGATTTTATCAAAAATTGAATTATTTGGGTTCTTTGATATGCCGAATCTAACCGTGTATTTAGATTTTAATTTTTTTGATCCCGTTTTCAAATTGGTCCGCATTAAGGTCCTAAAGGTCCAAAATTAAACTTAGTTTGATTTTAACAAAAATTGAATTCTTGGGGTTTTTTGATATGCTGAATCTAAATATGTATTTAGATTTTGATTCTGGGCCAAGTTTTCAAGTTAGTCCAAATCGGGGTCCAAAATTAAACTTTGTATGATTTCAACAAAAATTGAATATATGGGGTTCTTTGATATGCTGAATCTAACCGTGTATTATGTTTTTGGATTTTGGGCCCCGTTTTTAAATTGGTCCACGTTGAGGTCCAAAGGGTCCAAATTAAATTTTGTTTGATTTCATCAAAAATTGAATTATTGGGGTTCTTTGACATGCCGAATCTAACTGTATATTTAGATTTTTAATTTTAAGCCTGTTTTTTAAATTGGTCTACATTAAGGTCCAAAGGGTCTAAAACTAAACTTAGCTTGATTTTAACAAAAATTGAATTCTTGGGGTTCTTTAATATGCTGAATCTAACCGTGTATTAAGTTTTTTGGATTTTGGGCCCCGTTTTTAAATTGGTCCACATTGAGGTCCAAAGGGTCCAAAATTAAACTTTGTTTGATTTCATCAAAAATTGAATTATTGGGGTTCTTTGATATGCCGAATCTAACCATGTATTTAAATTTTAATTGTTGGTCCTGTTTTTAAATTGGTCTGCATTAAGGTCCAAAGGGTCCAAAATTAAACTTAGTTAGATTTTAACAAACAAATTGATTCTTGGGGTTTTTTGATATGCTGAATCTAATCATGTAATTATATTTTTGATTATGGGCCTATTTTTCAAGTTGGTCCAAACCGGGGTCCAAAATTAAACTTTGTTTGATTTTAACAAAAATTGAATATATGGGGTTCTTTGATATGCTGAATCTAACCATGTATTTAGATTTTTAATTTTTGGGCCCTGTTATCAAATTGGTCCACATTGAGGTCAAAAGGGTCCAAAATTAAACTTTTGTTTGATTTCATCAAAAATTGAATTCTTGGGGTTCTTTGATATGCCGAATCTAACCATGTATTTAGATTTTGGATATTGGACCATATTAGGTAAATGTCCAATTTAAAATTTTTAAGTTCTTAGACCACATTCGTTCTATGTCAGAAACCTATGCTGTGTCAAATATTTAATCACAATCCAAATTCAGAGCTGTATCAAGCTTGAATGTTGTGTCCATACTTGCCCCAACTGTTCAGTGTTCGACCAGCGGTCGTATCAAGCTGCGCCCTGCGGATCATTTTATTGGATATTATCTTGAATATTATTTTAGATAGAGATAAACTAAACAACAATAATGTTCAGCAAAGTAAGATCTACAAATAAGTCTACATAACCAAAATGGTCAATTAACCCCATAAGGAGTCAATTTTTTACCATTTTTGGAAGTTTTTGTAATCTTTTACAAAAATCTCCTCTAAAACTACTAAAACAAATTTGACCAAACTTGGCCACAATCATCATTAGGGTGTCTAGTTTAAAAAATGTGTCCGATGACCCCGCCTACCAACCAACATGGCCGACATGGCTAAAAATAGAACATAGGGGTTAAAATTCAAGTTTTGTCTATTATTTTTTGAACCATTATAAATAGAGAAAATCTGATACGAGCAACAATGTTCAAAATAATGAGCTTAACCAATTGTACATATACGTCAAAACTGTTAGACAAGTTCTTATAGGAGTTATTGCATACCTGTCAACCTATGACAATGAAAATGCAGGTGATGATCTGCATTGAAGAATGAAATCTCAGGTCATAACGCGTACAAACTTTTTCGGATTGAATTTCAGGATTTAGAGGACATTTTTCTTATAATTTAAATCAAACAGTTTCTAAAACATGTTCACATGGTCAAGTAATTTAAAACTGTACATGGTATTATTTCATTGCACTTATTCCATGACATACCATGTGCCAATTTGTTTTTTCTTTACAAACATTTGTGCAGCTTTTAAGCAACAAGATTTTAATGATGATGATGGGAGTTTTAAATGACTTTGAATGGCTATTCAGCCCTCAAACAGTCGGCCCTGGCTTGAGGCTTTTTGGGCATTTAATTAATTTATTTTAACCTTAAGGTATAAGATTTTAAGATGTTAATGTTAGAGTATAATAAAATAAAAGTTAAACAATTAAAGGAGGTATAGATGAAAAAAGTAATTTTCAAACTTTTTATTTTTTAATTGTTCTAAGGTAGAAAAATAAGAAAAAGTATTATTCTGATATGTTTTTGGATTCAATTCATTTTAGATTTATTCTTTAAAAAAAACCATTAGTTTAAAGAGTATTTTGTGAAAGGTGAAAAAAGGGGAAGTAACTCTAATGTTTTTAAAACAACTTTGAAATACACAAATTATTTACGATCTAAAGCTAAGGTAATTGGCGTTAATTAACAGTGTGTTTGAGACCAAAGCTGTCAAATGAAGCCATGCTCTGCAATGGGTCACTTAATTTGAATTTACACAGCTAGTTGAACTTCTTGTCCAGGGAGAATTACGAATTTGCCGGTATTTAAAAGGAACATCACTTATGAAATCAGTCTGAAGGCTTAGGAGGAATACGGGTGAAAACGGGTCATTTTCGGAATTCCCGGGTTATTTAACGACCCGGCGGGTGTCCCGGGTTACCCCTCAGATTTGTGAAAATCTCGGGTCACACCCGCAGGATACGGGTCAGTTGACTGGTATGGTTATTGCCCAAATGACAAATTTTACCTTTTTTTTTTTTTCATTTTTGCCTATCATCATGAAAACTATGATATTAAAAGAGAAACATTTTTTTTTTCCGTTATGCCTTATATGATTTAAATTATAATAGATAAATAGACACTTTAAATCACAAAAATGATCAGCAAGGTAAGATCTATTAAAAAGTCAAATTTTGCCGATATAGTTTGTAGACTGTCACTCTTCAAAGGAGTGATTGCCCTTAAATGAGGATTTTGTTTTACCCTCTTTAATGTTTTGAGCACATACTTAAGAAGATAGAAACTAAACAGACTAAAAGATCAGTAATACAAGATCAACAAAATAGAGATTATTGTCATGAAGTCTATTCTCGTCTACAATGTTGCAGAGTGTCCTTTGTTTGATATGCACATAGACCAAGGTGAGCGACACAGGCTCTTTAAAGCCTCTAGTTTT